CTGTGGTTACAGATTGAATTATTGTTCATGATGAATAGATAAACAAATACTTAGCTATTAGCGTCCTGCTGTTGAGAACAGAAAAGGCTTTCGGCCTTTCAGTCCCACGCAGTACGGAGGTGTCTGTGTCCCAGGTCTGTCGGTGGACATCGGGGAGGAGGACCTGCAGTTCGCTCTGGAGGGCATCGCCGGCATGGGCCAGCTCAAGGTGTCCCAGCAGGGAAGCTGCAGGCGGCCCAAGTGGAGGGTGGAGTGGCTGACCCGGCCCGGAGACCAGCCCCTGATGGAGGTCTGACCCCTCTCACTCCTGTGACCCTCCTACTGTCACAGAAAGACCGTTTAACCTCAGGAAATGTTTGTAGGAGACCAACAGCCCGACCTTTAACCTCCAAAGGGTCTCTGAGCTGCAGCTTTCTGCAGATTTTTCTGCTTCTTCTCTGGTTTTCAGTCCTTCTAGCTGAGAATTTCTTAGAGAAATGTGTTTTTTCTCTGTCATCCAGGCAGAAAGTAGGATCTCATGATGCATTTGGAATTATTGGATGGATGGATGGATGGATGGATGGATGGATGGATGGATGGATGGATGGATGGATGGATGGATGGATGGATGGAATAAAAATATTTTTTCTGTTTATTTAACATCCAAAGACTCATGATCAGGTTCTGGATCTGACCAGGTTCTAATCAGGTTCTGGATTTGATCTGGATCTGGTTCTGATTGGGTTCTGGTTCTGGATCCGATCTGGTTCTGGTTCTGATCAGGTTCAGGTTTTGTTTCTGATTTTGTTCTGGATCTGATCTGGTTCCGGTTCTGATCTGGTTCTGATCTGATCCTGGTTCTGATCTGGTTCTGATCTGGTTCTGATCTGGTTCTGATCTGGTCCTGGTTCTGGTCGGGTTCAGGTGGACGGCTCCGGCCTCGTGGGCAGAGAGGTGCAGCTCTCGGCCAGAGAGTCGGTGAAAGGAGGGTTGCTGATCCGAAGCCTGACTGGAGATTTCTTCCGACTGGCAGAGGAGAAACCGCAGGTGTTCATTGATTTATTTAATTGTTTTTACCATTTGGTTCTGAGGGTCCAAATTACTTATTTACAACATTTAAATTCCACAATAAGAACACGACTGGTGTAAAATGTCTAAAACCATTTTTCTTTAGATTACTTAGATAACTTTCCTTCATTTAAACACCTAAAAAACGTATTTTTCAGTGATTTTCTAAAGAATTTCCCACACAGATGTTCCTCCTCATTTAAATGGATCCCAAATAGTATCCTCTCCTTTCTCAGGTCACATGGGAAAGCATGCCTGCTCCCATTGGCCCATTTGGATAAAACATCTAAATGCATTTTCCTTTAGATTTCAAACAGTAGTGTCTGATAGCGTCTGTTATGAGGCCAAGAGGTCAAAGGTCAAAGAGAAAAGGAGGATCCTGTTACAGAGAGGCAGAGACGCAGCGTCCTCACATCAGAACAGGAAATCAGGAGGGGAAATGCCCTCCAGAACAGTTCTGTGGTGTTAATGAAAGCCGGCCTGGGTCTTCAGGTGGAGGTCTACATCAACGGGATCCCCTCCAGGTGCTCCGGGGACTGCAGCTTCAGCTGGTCGGAGGAGCTGACTCCAGTCGTGACTGGAATCAGCCCGTCTCAAGGTGGGCCGCCCACTGTGAGTAATGAAGTTAAACTTAACATCCCAGCTAAAACCAATGTGGTGGGTTCAGGTTCACACGGCCTCGGGACCCTTCTGACCGTCACTGGAACCGGCTTCAGGAACGAAAACGCAACGATCCGGGTGGGAAATGCCAGTTGTCGGGTTGAACAGGTCACAGGTGAGTCCCTGCCCGTCCAGACGTCCTCAAACACGACTTTAGCCTGTGTTTAATGTCACATAAAAGGGGGCCGACTCTGGTTTGATTCACAGTAGGTCCTGTAGTGGAGCTTCTGTGGGGCTCCTGACTCTCATCTGATCCACATTGGGTCCTGTAGCGGAGCTCCGCTATGGGGGCACCTGAGTCTGATCTGATCCAACCTTAGGTTCTGTAGCGGAGCTCTGCTGTGGGGCTCCTGACTCTAATCTGATCCACCTTAGGTCCTGTAGTGGAGCTCCGCTGTGGTGCTCCTGATTGGATCCACATTAGGTCCTGTAGAGGAGCTCCGCGATGGGGGCTTCTGACTCTGATATGATCCACATTGGGTCCTGTAGCGGAGCTCCGCTATGGGGGCTCCTGAGTCGGATCTGATCCAACCTTAGGTCCTGTCGCGGAGCTCCGCTATGGGGGCCCCTGACTTTGATCTTATCCACATTAGCTCCTGTAGAGGAGCTCCGCTGTGGGGTCCTGATTGGCTCCACATTAGGTACTGTAGAGGAGCTCTGCTGCGGGGCTCCTAACTCTGATCTGATCCAACCTTAGGTCCTGTAGTGTAGCTCCGCTGTGGGGCTCCTGATGGCTCCACATTAGGTCCTGTCGCAGAGCTCTGCTATGGGGGCTCCTGACTCTGATCTGATCCACATTAGGTCCTGTAGTGGAGCTCCACTGTGGGGCTCCTGACTCTGATTGGCTCCACATTAGGTCCTGTAGTGGAGCTCTGCTGTGTGGCTCCTGATTGGCTCCATATTAGGTCCTGTAGTGGAGCTCCGCTGTGGGGCTCCTGCTCCAGATGAAGCCTCCCTCCTCTGATCTGACCCACATCCCTTCTTTTCCTGGCTGACCCCAGCCAGCTCTCAGGTGTGCAGACTGGGCCCCTCCAGCGCCGGCTCCTTCCCGGTCTGGGTCAGCTTCCCCTCTGTGGGCGCCGCCCGGCACGCCGGCGGGCTCCCTCTCCTCTTCACCTACCAACTGGGCGTGTCCTCCGTCTCCCCGCCGTCCGGCAGTCTGGCAGGTCGGTCCCTGAACGCCCCTGAAGCGCCCCGCCTCCCCCTGGAGCGCCCCCTGGAGGCCTAACGTTGCTCTCTGCTCGCCAGGCGGCACCCTGCTGACGCTGAGGGGCTTCGGCTTTGGCCCGGACGCCACCGTGACCGTCGGCGGCGCCGAGTGCGCACTGGTCCAGTCGGCCGACTCGGAGCTGAAGTGCAGGACACCAGCGGTGAGGTCTCACACATGCTGTGTTTAAAAGGATCCTTTAACACATGCACGTGCATCGTAGGACATCTCCAGGAGTTTTACTTCAAATGGTGCATTCAGGTGCTGGTAAACGGAGGATCCTGGTGGTGAAAAAGAGTCAGAATATCTCAAACTCCTAAACAGATAGTCATTTTTCATCATTTTGTGTCAACGCAACAGTTAATTTGATCGGAGCCAGGATGTTCCAGCTTTTACCAGCCCCTGAATGCACCATGGAAAATAAGTTTTTTAAGCTCTTTTTGAACAGGAAGTGGCTGGAGGTGAAAATCTGTGGAAAATATACATGTTTGTGTTTGTTTTGTGTGTTCGTTACACACAGAGTGCGTTAAACACACAAAATTACACACAGAGTGTGTTAAACACACAGGGTGCGTTAAACACAGTGCGTTAAACACACAAGGTGGAATAAACACACACAGTTACACACAGAGTGGGTTAAACACACATGTGGAGCCCCCGAATGCACCATGTGAAAGCAGCCAGAGGTCCGGGCCTGTCTGATGGGCCTGTCTGACCTCCGGTCTGACCTGGTTCCAGGGGCCGGCGGGGGCCCAGCCGGTGGTGGTGAGGCTGGGGAACTGGAGCCAGACGGCCAGCAGCAGCTTCACCTACGACGGCGCCCTCACACCAAAGATCTCCAGCCTGAGTCCTCAGAGCACCACAGTGATCGGTGAGATTCACCCTCAGGTCTCTCAGGTCTTCCTCACTTTAACCCCCTCTGATCATAACTGTGTTTTTCTACTTTTTATGGGGTCAAAAAAGTGTTTATTCAAGGATTTTTACAGACGTCTCCTCGAGTGGAAAGCAACTGATTTAACCTCCTGAGAGCTTCTATCTGGTTTCTGGTTTGTTCCAGATCTCTGGATCAGGAGGAGCTGATAAGTTTAATAACTAGACTTTGTCCTGGTACAGGTAGTTTTCTTCTTTTGCTCAGTGGGTTTATCTTTAGATTTAAAATGTCTGTTCATAGATTTAATTCAGTGTTTTTGCAATTTGGTTCTGAGGGTCCAAATGACTTATTTACAACATTTTAATTCCACAATAAGAACATGATTGGTGTATAATGTCTAAAAGAATTTTTCTTCAGATTACTTAGATGACTTTCCTTCACCTAAACAAGCAGATTTTTCAATAATTTTCCTCAATCTAAAGATCTAAAAATCAGATTTTTCAATGGTTGAATATATATATAGTGTCCTCGAGGGGGACTCAAACCAATAAATATATTTAATTATTATTAGTATATGTACAAATAGATAATTAAATGCATAAACATTTTAAATCTACAGATAAACCCACTGAGCCTCTATAAAAAAACTGACTGAACCAGGACAAAGTCTAGTTATTAAACTAATAATCTGCTACTGATCCAGAGATCTGTAACTAAGCAAAAAACAGACAAAAGCTTCTGGCCATTACCCAGAAGCCGTCCCACTGACGTCCATCTGTCTGCTCCGTGTAGGACGACGGGTCCTCAGCATCCAGGGCTCAGAGCTGGGGGGGCAGGACAATGGCAGCATGGTGCTGGTGGGGGGGCGGGAGTGCCCCCCCCTAATGTGGACCAACACCTCCATCAGCTGCCTGCTGCCTGTGCTGCAGCCAGGCCTGCACAGGGTGGAGGTCCAGGTGGGAGCCAGAGGCTTCCCCCAGCTGAGGTATGGAGCAGGGAGGGA